AGAGAGAGAGAAATAGACAGACAGAGAGAGAGAGAGAGAGAGAGAGAGAGCGCGAACGAAATAAAATACATCCACCATGTCTAAGGTATGTCTAGCTTTGTCTAGAATTGTACGACTGTGAAAAGTAAAAAAAAAGACTGACCAAAGGTTGTCCATACCTAACCACATACAGCACAGCTGAGTTCAACAGCAGCAATTTTTTTGCCTGCGCAGCACGCGTCACATAACACAGAGTGTGTGACGTGCAGCAATTCATAACACGCACGCACGCACGCACGCCCGCGAAGACAGTTATTATGATACGAACGATGCGATAGAATGTAAATATTTTTGGTTCGATTACGTCCCTGCAGTAAATGTGTCCATCACAAGCGAATCTCCTCCTTCGTTAGATAAAAAAAAAACTATCTGCAGTCAGTGTTGTTGTTTTTTATAGCGGGGCCAGCCGGCCGGCCGGTATATAGGTGTGTGCGTGCGTGCATGTGCGTGCGTGCGCGAGAAGTAGAGAGTGCGCGCGCGCGTGTGTGTGTGCGTGTGCGCGGGAGTGTCAGCAGATAACAATGCAGCCCAACCGTGCAGCCCACCAGTGCAGCCCAGCCGTGCAGCTCACCAGTGCAACCCAGCCGTGCAGCCCGCCAGTGCAGCCTAGCCGTGCAGCCCAAGCTGCACACAGTACGCTGTACATAACGCGCCCGAATTAAACAAACGCGAGCGTTAGCGGCGCAACACACCTTCACCCCCCTCCCCCCACCCAACACCCACCCACCCCACCGCCCTTCGCCCCCCCCCTCCTTTTGCCCCACCCCGCGTGCCCCTACTGCACCGTGTACGGTCACCGCTTAGATTACAGACTCTCATGTTCACCGACGGCGGCAGCCCCTTTATGACGTCACGCCGACAAGAGATCTACCTCGGCCGATTTCGCCTTTGATGTTTTTTTTTCCAGCCGCCCGCCGCTTCCACGGCTGCTGCTGCTACGGCTTCGTTGTGAATTATTAATATTGTGTATAAGCAGTGTACGCGAAGCCTACATTAGGCACGGCCGGCTGGTGCCAGCCTGTACCTGCGTGCCTGCCTGCCTGCTTGCCTGCCTGCCTGTATCAATCATGCCTGCCTGCCCTACGTGCCTGCGCCGCGCTGCGTGCCTGCCTGCCTGCCTGCCTGCCTGCTTGCCTGCCTTGCCTGCCCTGCATGCATGCATGCCTACCTGCCGCCTCCTACCTGCCCTGCCTGCATGCCTGCCCTGCCTGCCGGCCTGCCTGCTGTGTCTGCGTGCGGTGCGTACGTGCGTGCGTGCGATGCCTGCCTGCCTGTGTCTGCCTGCCTGCCTGCCTGCCTTGCCTGCATGCATGCATGCATACCTCCTCCTCATCCTCCTCCTGCTGCTGCTGGCTGCAGCGCACACGTACTGGACACACAGATAGATGTACCTACACCTCCCCCGAGGGAGACAGAGACAGCACACTGCCCGTACACTCGTAGTGGACACACGCACCCCCCCCCCTACTCCCCCGTGAGAGGAGACGGAGATCCAGTACTAGAGCTAGCTGCCACGCAGACAAGATCAGACAGACGATTTTATGGGTCAGCCTGCAGGTATGCAGAGCGGTCACGTGATTCGCGATATGAAAACAAGATTTCTCACGTTCGAGCGCAGAGCTGGGTGTTTTTATCTGCTATTTTCGCGAGCTTATGTGCGTTTTTTTGTAGGCGATGTTAGCGCGTAAACGCTTTTCTAGTGAGAAATATTTCACATCGGGGACGACGATGCTTTTATCAAATAATCTAAATCTAATCAAATCTAATAATACCTGATTTTATTATTGCTATTATTTCTATTATCACTGCTACTTCTATCACAAATATTGTTATCTGGTTGCTGTTCGTTCCGGTACATCTACCTTTATTATTTTATTATTCGTATTATTATTATTATCATCATAATTATTATTATTATATCATTATCATCGTCATCATTGTTATTATTATTAGTATATTTTTACCAGGCCCTGACTTAGAAACAGGTAGATGTTTCAATGGCGTAGAAATAGCTGCCGACTCTCTACTACTATTACTAAGGATATGCCGCCCTTCGTCCGGTGAACTATAAGCGAACCCCGCCATTTCCGGCGCAGCTGGCAAGCGGAAGCCACGCGCACGCACGCACGCACGCACGCACGCACGCACACGCACGCACGATGAGCGATCACCAGTGGCGCACGCGCGAGTTTACGTGCGGCGGCGGCGGCGGAAGCGGAAGTAAGCGGGACACGCCGACCGTCGCCTGCTCGTCGGCTCGGCAGCTTCGTGTCGTCACCACGGCAACGTGAAGCATAGAGCTCTAATACCTGCGGTTAGATATGTTTCTACCACGCCTGATGCTCCGCTACTAACACACAGGCGGTGTCTGCTACCTGCGCACTCACGCACACGCACGCACGTACGCACGCACGCACGCGTACGGGTGCGGATTGGGTGAGCGACTTGCCCCCGGTGCGTGTTCACGCGCGCGTATACGCGCTCACGCATGCACTACCACGCACACGCACACGCACACGCACACGCACACGCACGCACGCACGCGCGTCAGCGCGCAGGAACGCACATCTACACGCACGCACGCACGCACGCACGCGGCGGCGACTGATTGCGTGAGCGACCTGCCTCCCGAGTCCCGTGTGCGTTCACGCACGCGGTTGTTAGCTTCGGTTTATTATACATATACGGCCGGCCGCAGCCTTTATGCTCTCCGCTGTCGCTGACGTATAATCAAGCCGTTCGACCACGTCTGCTTTGCCGCATTGTGAAACCTCGTAAGCGACGTGCATTATTAGTACTCCGTACGACACGTATAATTTCGATACGCGTTTTGAACCGCAAAGTTAATTGCTTGAGTTCAATTCTGACTGCGCGAAAGGTAAAACCCGCGTGCTACTGCTGCTGCTGTTGTTGTTGCTGCTGCTGTTGTTGTTGTTGTTGCTGCTGTTGTTGCTGCTGCTGCTGCTGTTCTGCCACTGCTGTTGTTACTGCTGCTGCTGATGATGGTAAAAATGGAAATATTACTACTAAGTACTGCTGCTGCTGTTGCTGCTGCTGCCACTGCTTTTGCTGCGGCTGCTCATAAATATAATACAAAGTGACCACATAAAGCTACATATAAAGCCGTAAAGTTGTTATTCACGCGAACCCGGAGAAGTCTATAGCAGCGCTCGAGGCAGACTCGTTTATATATTTGGTTATGTTTAGTAGACTCTCCAGGTAGTCACACGAACTCCTTCTTCTTTAAAATCACAGATGGAGTCCGAAAGTCAAGCGGGAAGAGTTTAACCTGTGTTAATCTTCGACCTCCTGCAAGGCTAGTATAGGTAGTCTCTAGTATAGGTAGTATAGGTATATATATATATATATATATATATATATATATATATATACTAGTACTACTACGTACGTAACGTATAACTAACGTACGAACGTACCTTAACCGACCGGGTACCGTTACGGTAACCGTTACCTAA